GTGACAGTGATGTATATACCAGATTTTAACTACAACTTATTCTCAGAGCTTATGTGTATACACTCCACAACAGAATGGAGTTATGGAAAGGAAGCACAGAACAATCCTAGAAATGGTAAGTCTCTCAGATTTCAAGCTTCAGTCCCTCTAAGATTATGGGGTGAGTTTGTTAGTAAAGCTGTATACCTCATCAATCGACTTCCTTCTAAGGTGATTGGGTACAAGACTCCTTTTGAAATGATTTATTTACATCCTCCTTCACTACAATACTTAAGAGTCTTTGGGTGCTTGTGCTATGCGTCTAGTCCCAAGTGCATGACAAGTTTTCACCTAGAGCTATATCAGCAGTTCTTATGGGGTACTCATCTACTCAAAAGGGTTATATCTTGTATGATCTTGTAACGACCCGGCCGGTCATTTTGAGAATTTAAGCTCCGTTCGGCAGCTTAAGGTCTTGAACAGCCTCATAATATGTGTATCGACTTACGTGCATGGTTGAATTCAGTTAATGGATGATTCAAAATCAAATTGGAAGAAGGAAACTAGTTTTGGAAGTTTAAACGGTGAGAATCTGACCGGAATTGGACTTTTGAGTAAATGGCCCCGGAATGGGTTTTGGGTGATCTCAACAGCTTCAATTGGTGATTTTGGACTTAGGCGTGCGTCTGGATTTGGATTTGGAGGTCCGTAGGGTAATTTGAGGCGTTTTGGCAAAAGTTGGAAAAGTTGAAGTTTGGAAAATGGAGAAGTTTGACCCATAGTTGACTATTGTGATATCGGGGTCGGAATGCGATTCCGAGAGTTGGAACAGCTCCGTTATGTCATTTTGGACTTGTCTGCAAAATTTGTCCTCATTCATGGTGTGATTCGTTGTTTTAGAGTTGTTTGATGTGATTTGAGACCTCGAGCGAGTCCGTGTTAGGTTATATGACTTGTTTTTGTGTTTAGACGGGGTCCCGGGGGCCTCGGGTGTGTTCCGGGTGGGCTACGGGCCATTTTCCCTTGTTATTGAACTGCTGTTTGCTGCTTCTGGTATCCTCTTTCGCAATCGCGAACCGCCTTTCGCGTTCATGAAGCTTTGTTGCTGACCACCTGAAAATCCTTCTTCGCATTCGCGTAACACACCTCGCATTCGCGAAGCTTTGCCTTATCCTTCTTCGCGTTCGCAGCCACCCCCTCGCGTTTGCAAAAGCATCTGTTCTTTACTCTCCGCGTTCGCATCCCTTAGCTCGCGTTCGCGAAGGCCTTTCTTGGCAGCTTCAGTTTCCCTTCTTCGCGAACGCAATTGTCCTTCCGCGTTCGGGATGCACATAGTCTGGGCGGACAGAATATAATTTTCAAATCGAGGGATTCACCATTTTTATCATATTTTGACTTGTGGAGCTCGGTTTTAAGTGATTCTTTGAGGGGTTTTCACACAAATCGATTGGGTAAGTGTTCTTCAATGAGACTTAAATATATTACATGAATTAGTCTTTGTTTTTATCATTTAAATTGTGTTTTAGTTAGGGAAAATGTTGGCTTTTGAAGAAAGTTTTCAAAACGAAATTTCATGATTTGAGGGACGAAATGGTATCGGAATTTGATAATTTTGGTATGGTTGAACTCATATTGGAATGGGTATTCGGATTTTGTAAAATTTGTCGGGTTCCGAGGTGCGGGCCCCGGGGTCGACTTTTGGACCGATTTTAGATTTTGTTAAAGATTGAAACTTTAGGAGCCGGAATAGTTTCTTATGCGTTTTATTTGTGCTTTGAAGTTAATTTGGTTAGATTTGGGCCGTCCGGAGATCTTTTCACCCGAGAAGTGCATTCTTGAGTATCGGTGTGTCGTCTTTGAGGTAAGTGTCTTGCCTAACCTTGTGTGGGGACTTCCCCTTAGGATTTGAGTCTTCTATGTTGATTGTAGTTCGTGTACGCGAGGTGACGAGTGCGTGCTCGGACTTAATTGTGGAAAATTTGCTTTTTAGGGTTCTTAGGTCTTTATATTCACTGTGTAGGAATGTGTTCTTGACATGACTGAGTATCTTATTTAATTGTTTTCACCTCTACATGCTTAATTGGAATTAATTGCTTCATGATTCACTCTTATTGCCTAATTGACTCCTAATTGAGTTAAGTGAAGAATTTCTCCTCACCTATTGTTATGCTATCTTTTCATAGTTGCTTATCTTATTTGAGAATTTCATTACCCTTTTGAAATTGTTTAGTCTTAAGTGAAGCTAAGATCATCTTCCCTTAATTGAATTTTCGAATATCCTCAAAATTTATCCAACCTTAAAAAGGAGTTTAGATAATTTATATCTTGTTGACTTGCATTTATTTGGGACTACTTGACTCGTGTTGATCTCCTTGTTATTGACTTGTATATTGTGGGATCGTTGCTACATGTTAGTTTCCCCGTTGTTGAACTGTTCCCTTTATGCCAGCATTCTTTTCTGTGGTTACTCCTTGTGAGCTCGTTCTGCCGTTTCCTTGCGATTTACAATCCTTAAGTTGATTTACTTGTCTTACCTTGTATTATTGTCATTTGTTGTTGTTTTATGTATTGTGGTAATGTACGAGCTTTCTGTTGTGTTGTGACTGTTGTTTCTATTGGTTGCGCTGCATGTTTACTTTGGGACTACGGAACGGTATTCCGAGAAATCACCCTGCATATTTACTTTTGGGACTACGGGAATGCACCCGGGAGATCCCCCTGCATATTTACTTTTGGGACTATGGGACTGCACCCGGGAGATCCCCCTGCGTATTTACTTTGGGACTACGGAACGGTATTCCAGGAGATCCCCCTACACATTTATGATTTGGACTACGGGACGGTATCCCGGGAGATCCTCTGGATATTTACTTTGGGACTACGGGACGGTATCCCGGGAGATCCTCTAAATATTTACTTTTGGACTACGGGACGGTATCCCGGCAGATCCTCTGTACATTACGTTTGGGACTACGGGACGATATCCTGGGAGATCCCCTGTTATTATCACTGTGTTCTGAGCTGTTGTTTTCATTGATCCTATCCCTGTGTAAACAATATATGTGTTGTCCGTTCTTGTCCTTATGCTTACTAGTTGGTGCGAACTATGTTAGGACACTTGCACAAGCATACACGTGGTTAATCACCCTTATCGGGTAGGAGGCTCTTGGAGATTTCTGAGTATAGACACACCCCTCGTTTATTTTCCTTCCATGTGAGAATGACTCTTTGACACGTGAGTTGTCAGTATGATTATGAGGTATGATGAGGGCACAAGATGCCAAGTGTTAAGGTTCCGGTATTGAGGCCCGTATTGTATGATTATGAGATGAGGTGTCACAGGGTGACTTATATTCGAAGAATATTTATTGAAAAGGTTATATTCAAAAGGTATTCATTATTAGAGGACTATTTCAGAAAAGAATGTTGCTTGAAGAAGTATAATTCGAAATGCTTTTATCGACCGAAAGATTTGACTAATTGATTGGAGTTGTTGGCTATGACCTAATGTGAAAGTTGATGTAGTTGCTGAGTTATGATCTGTCCTTACTGTATTTGTGGATTTCGAATTTGGGTTGTATTTTTGTTCACTTTTATGAGCCTTATCATGGTTTTTTTTACCACTGTTACTTACTGCTTCCTCTCATTATTGTAGTTACTGTATTGTTAGCAATATCGTTTAGCCTTCATATAGATATCACGTTCGGTTGTTTCTATACTTAAATTTGTTCTGCTTATTAGACTAGTGGGTGTCTTGACTGTTCCTCATCACTACTCCACCGAGGTTAGTCTTGATACTTACTGGGCACCGTTGTGGTGTGCTCATACTACACTTCTGCACATTTTTTTTGTGCAGATCCAGGTATTGTTCGCTAGTAGCTGTGCGGATCCTTGCGGAGGAGACTCAAGGTAGCCCTGCTGCTGCGTTCGCAGGCTTCGGAGTCACCTTCCTATTTTATATTCACACTGTTGTACTTATTTCCATACGGTTGTGTTTAGAAGTTGTAGCGAAACTCTGTAGAGCTTATGACTTGTACCACCGGGTTTTGGGGAGTTGTTCATTGTATAAAGGATTTATCTCAGAAGAATTCTAGCTGTTATTAGTTATTGTTGTTATTCTGCATTTTAGTAGGCTTACCTAGTCCTTGAGACTAGGTGCCATCACGAAACCCAACGGAGGGAAAATTGGGTCGTGACAGATCTTTACTCAAAAACATTCCTAGTCAATAGAAATGTACATTTCAGGAGGAAATCTATCCTTTTAAGCACATTAAACAAGTCAGCAATTTGTTTCCTATGCTGGAATTTGTTCCTTCTGCTCTTGACAACTCAATCTCCCCTATCACAGATGCTCACAATGTCTTACAATCCTCTCCAACAGCCTAAGAAGATGACAATGCTCCTGATCAGTTGCATCATCCAAACACAACTGAAGTTCTACTTGCAAGTAAAGCTCCTATGGTTGATACTTTGAGTACACAAGAACTCGGAAAGTCCTCTAGAATCAGTAGGCCCCCTCTATGGCTATATGACTATGTAGTCCAATCCAAAGGATCCAATTGTGCTTATTCTATCTCAACTCATGTGACATACTCACATATCACTCCTTCATATTGTTAGATTCTATTTGCTTACTCTACATATGTTGGGACTCAATCATTCTCAAAGGAAGTCAAAAATCCTAAATTGGTGGATGCTTTGAAGTTTAAGATAGCAGCCTTAGAAGACAATCACACCTGGAGTATTGTGGATTTGCCTCCTAGGAAGAAGCCTGTTGGCTGCAGATAGATTTTTAAGATCAAGCATAAAGCTTTAGGGGAGATAGAGAGATTTAAGTCCAAGCTGGTGGCCAAAGGTTATAGCCAAAAGGAAGGTTAGACTATAGTGAAACTTTTTCACCTGCAACTAAGATGGTGACAATTAGATCTGTTATTGCCCTTGCAGCTTCAAAGCAATGGCTCATTTATCAGATGGATGTGCATAATGCCTTTCTCAAAGGTGATATCATATAGGAAATTTATATGGTAATTCCCGAAGAGTTTGCTAGACAGGGGAAGAGTCAAAAGGTCTGCAAACTACACAAATCTCCATATGCTCTTAAACATGCTCATAGGCAGTGGAATTTGAAGCTTACTGAAGCTCTGGCATTAATGGGATTTGAGCAAAGTCACTATGACTATTCCCTATTTACTAAGAAGGCTACAGGTGATGTGGTAATAGTTCTGGTGTATATGGTTTCCCTACTGGTCACTGGAAATAATCCAAGTCTGATTAATGATACTAGGTGCAAACTGCAGCAGAGGTTCAAGATAAACGATCTAGGGGAGTTAAAGTTCTTCCTTGGTATTGAATTTGTAAGATCAAATAAAAGTATTTTTATGTGTCAAAAGAAATATGCCCTTGAGCTAGTTGCTGAGGCAGGTCTAGGAGGTGCTAAACCAGCCGGTATTCCACTAGAACTAAACCAGGAACTCACATCAGTAAAGTATGATGAATGTGTCAAACATAAGGAATCAAGTGAGGATAAGCAGGTTGAAGATCCCAGTAGCTATCAAAGGTTGGTAAGGAGATTATTGTATCTAACTATGACCAGACATGACATTGATTTTGCAGTGCAGGTATTAAGTCAATGTGTGCATTGTCCTAAAGTATCTCATATGGAATCAACATTAAGGGTAGTGAGGCGTATCAAAGAAGCTCCTGGTCTGGGATTGATTATGCCTACAAGAGACACTGAGCAACTCACTGCCTACTGTGACTCTGACTGGGGAGCCTGTGTAGAAACAAGAAGATCAGTCACTGGCTACCTAGTTAAGTTTGGGAAGTCTTTGGTATCCTGGAAATCCAAGAAGTAGAATATTGTCTCAAGAAGTTCAGCAGAATCTGAGTTTAGAAGCATGGCTACTTGTGCAGCAAAAATCACATGGCTGGTACGCCGGTTTAATGAAATTGGAGTCAACATTCAGATGCATGTAAAGATGATACCAGATAGCAAAGTTGCAATACATATAGCAGCTAATCCTATATTCCATGAAAGGACAAAAGACAAAGCACATCGACACAGACTGCCACTTTGCTAGAGAAAAAAATCAGCAAAGGACTGTTACAGACTAAACATATACATTCAGAATATTAGCTGGCAACTTATTTACCAAGAGTCCAGGGAAGGCACAACATGATCATTTGTTAAACCAGCTTGGAGTTGAGAATTTGTTTAGAGTATCAGCTTGAGGGGGAATGTTGGCAAAAATGATTACAAGCTGATAACTAACTATAGTTAGCTCATAGAGTTAACTATAGAGTGTATAGTTAGTTAGTTAAGTATATAGTTAGTTAGTTAAAAATTAGTTAAAGTTAGGTGGTTCGAAGTTAGTTATTTAGTGTATATATGCAATGCGTAGTGAATAGAAACTTAACAGATTTTATTTCCATTTCTCTCGATCTGTTCTCCTCTTCCTTCAAACTCTCTCTCTCTCTCTCTCTCTCTCTCTCTCTCCCCCTTGATAGCCATGGCATCTAACAGTGATGTCGTTTTGGACAAAATTCTTACGATTCTTTCTAAAAAGTCTCACTCTATTAAGAGATTTCTACACCTATATATAAACTCTTAATCTTTTTATTTACCGATACCGATGTGAAACTTTATTTGCATACCAACAATATGCCATTACGAAAATTATGATAGCTCAAGATATTTCTAACAAACTGACGAGTGATAGCTCAAGACAAAACTCATTTTTGGTATGGGTGAAAAGTATAGTTAAATAACGTCTTTTAATTTTTCAGAGTATGTAAGAGCCGTTTAGTGGGTGTTGTTGTTGTTGTTGTTGAAAGAGCCACGTTTACGAGCAAGAAAAGCGTCAAGCACTCTCAACCACTACATCATCCAATTGGCCACTACCAATAGCTCTCGAGATTCATTTTGTGTTGTTGTAGTTTTGACTTTGAGTTGAAAATCTACCTCAACAAAAGGGTCTGTCTATGAAACCATTAGAAGTATCAGAAAATGAATGTGAGGTGCTACTCCTCTAAATTAATCTCATATGAACTAAGATAAAAAAAGTAATCGCAATATTTGAATGCTTATAAATTATTTGACTTTTGTTGCGTATTTGAATTAATTCTAATCCCATTTATCTCGTTTCCCTTCATTTTTCTTCATTCATAAGCCATTTGATTCGGACAAAAGTTTCTTTATTGTTAACTACGAGAATATCATGAATTTACAGGTCTTTTTTTCATGTTTGAACGAATTTCTCCTGCAAACCAAGTTAGTGACAATAAATGCAGATGAATCTTCAGCTTATGATTGTAAACTATTATAATCTTAAATGAGGTATTCAATGAACATTTCGTCATCATTGCCAGTGGAAAGCGCTCGAAACTATTAGAAAAAAAGGAAGGGGTGAACAGTAAAAGATAATGTAATTTTGCTTCGTCTAATTTCTGTAGTCATTTTATATTACTAATGAGCATTTTTTTGGTTTATACCTGTTATGATTAAGGAAAACATATACAAATGTGACAATGTTAAAGCCGTATTCAGAAAATCACATATGGAGCTCAAAAGATGTCACGACCCAACTTTTCATCCGTTTGGGTATCGTGATGGCACCTAGTCTTTGGGACTAGGTAAGCCTAACTCATACTGAAATACAACAATAATAAATGAAATTTAACAGTCTCGAAGCAGAAATCTCTATAAAATTTATAATTCCCAAAACCCGGTAGTACAAGTCATAAGCTCTACAGAGTTTCGCTACAACTTCTAAACACAACCGTATGGAAATAAGTACAACAGTGTGAATATAAAGTAGGAAGGTGACTCCGAAGCCTGCGAACGCAGCAGCAAGGCTACCTTGAGTCTCCTCGGCAAGAATCCGCACAGCTACTATCGAATAATACCTGGATCTGCACAAAAAAATATGTGCACAAGTGTAGTATGAGCACACCACAGCGGTGCCCAGTAAGTATCAAGACTAACCTCGGTGGAGTAGTGACGAGGAACAGTCCTGACACCCACTGGTCTAATACGCAGAACAAGTATAAGTATAGAAACAACCGAACATGATATTTATATAAAGGCTAAGCGATATTGCTAACAATACAGTAACTACAATAAGGAAAGAAAACAGCAAGTAACAGCGGAACACCATAATAAAGCACATAAAAGTGAACGGAAATACAACCCGAATCCGAAATCACAAATAAAGTAAGGACAAATCATAACTCAGCAACTAAGGCAGTTTTTCACATTAGGTCATAGCCAACAAACTTCAATCAATTAGTCAAATTCTTCTGACAAAAACATTTCGAAATATACTTCCTTCAAAAAAATATTTTTCCAAAATAGTTCTCTAAAAATGAGTACCTTTCGAATATAACCCATCCAAATAAATATCCTTCGAATATAAGTCACCCTGTGACACCTCATCTCATAATCGTACATACAATTCTTAATACTTGAACCCTAACACTTGGCATCCTGTGCCCTCATCACACCTCATAATTATACTGACAACTCACGTGCCCAAAAGAGTCATTCTCACATGGAAGGAAAATAAACAAGGGTGTACGTCTATACTCAGCAATATCAAGGAGCCTCCTATCCGATAAGGGTGTTTAGCCACGTGTATGCTTGTGCAAGTGTCCTAACGTAGTTCATACTAGCTAATAAGGATAAGAAACAGAACGGACAACACATATAATGTTTACACAGGGATAGGATCAATGAAAACAACAGCTCAGAACACAGTGATATTAACAGGGGATCTCCCAGGATACCGTCCCGTAGTCCCAAACGTAAATGTACAGAGGATCTCTCGGGATACCCTCTCGTAGTCCAAATCATAAATGTGCAGGGGGATCTCCCGGAATACCGTTCCGTAGTCCCAAAATAAATATTCAGTACAGGGGATCTCCCAGGATACCGTCCCGTAGTCCCAAACATAAATGTGTAAGGGGATCTCCCGGAATACCATTCCGTAGTCCCAAAGTAAACATGCAGGGGGATCTCCCGGAATACCATTCCGTAGTCCCAAAGTAAATATGCAGCGCAACTAACAGAAATAACAGTTACAGCACGGCTGAAAACCCGTACATCACCACAATACGTATAACAACAACAATGACAATAATACAAGGTACGACAAGTAAATCAACTCAAGAACTATAAATCACAAAGAAACGGTAGAACCAGCTCACAAAGAATAACCACAGAAAAAGAATGCTGGCATAAAGGGAACAATTCAACAAAGGGAAAACTAACATGTAGCAACGATCCCACAATATACAAGTCAATAACAAGGAAATCAACACGAGTCCAGTATTCCCAAATATAGGCAAGTCAACAAGGACATAGGTTATCTAAACTCCTTTTAAGGTTGGAAAGTTACGAGGATATTCGACAATTCAATTAAGGAAAGATGATCTTAGCTTCACTTAAGACTAAACAATTTCAGGAGGGATAATAAAAATTCTCAAATAAGACAAGCAACTATGAAAAAGATAGTATGACATATGAGAGGCGAAATTCTTCAGTTAAATCAAATAGGAGTCAATTAGGCAATAAGAATGAATCATGAAGCAATTAATTTTAATTAAGCATGTAGAGGTGAAACTAGTAAAATGGAAACTCAGTCATATTAAGAATAACTTCATACATAGTGAATATAAGGACCTAAGAACCCTAAAAGGCAAATTTCCCACAAATAAGTCCGAGTACGCACTCGTCACCTCGCGTACACGAACTATAATCAACATAGAAGACTCAAATCCTAAGGGGGAGTCTCCCACACAAGGTTAGGCAAGATACTTACCTCAAGGACGACAAACCGATACTCTAAAATGCACTTCTCGGGTGAAAAGACCTCCGGACGGCTCAAATTCAACCAAAATAACCAATCGATTTGCTTGAAAAACCCTAAAAGAAGCTCCCAAATCCGAAGTTTAAAGCTCAAAAATATATGAAGAAATGGCCAAACCCTCGACTTATATGATTCTGCCAGGACTTTCGCATCTGCGGTCAAGAAACCGCATATGCGGGACCGCATTTGCGAGAGAGAGTCCGCATCTGCGAATTTAGCTAACCAGGCCAGGGACCGCATCTGCGGACATACAGCCGCATCAGCGACACCGCAGAAGCGAAAAGGGGAATCGCATGAGCGAGATTTCACCGCAGGTGCGATAGCTAGACCGTACAAGCGGCCTTCGCACTTACGTGCCAGCCTCCGCAGAAGCGAGCAAGCTCCCAAGCCTTCATGACTGTAGAAGCGGCTAGGCTCACGCAGAAGCGGAGCCGCACCTGTGCTCCAAGGTCGCAGGTGCGAAAACACCAGGAATCAGACATGTTCAAAACCATGCAAAACATCCGAAACTCGTTCGAAATACGCCCGAGGCCCCCCGGGACCCCGTCTAAACACACAAATAAGTTCTATAACCTAAAAAGGACTCGCTCAAGGTCTCAAATCATATCAAACAACACCGGAAATGCAAATCACGCCATGAATCGAACTATGAACTTCCAAATCTTCCAACGTTGAAAACTCATGCCAAAACCATTCAAATCAACCCGGAATAATGCCAAATTTTGTAGACAAGTCCCAAATGACAAGACAGAGCTGTTCCAACTCTCGGAATCGCATTCCGACCTCGATAGCACAAAGGTCAACTATGGGTCAAACTTCTCCATTTTTCAAACTTCAACTTTTCCAACTTTCGCCGATTTGCCTCAAATTACTCTACGGACCTCCAAATCCAAATTCGGACGCACGCCTAAGTCCAAAATTACCATATGAAGTTGTTTAGACATCCAAAAGCCATTCCGGAGCTGTTTACTCCAAAGTCTAATTCCGGT